GAGGCATCTCAGCCCCTGGGCATCTCCATGCACCTGCTGCCTGCAGGACCAAGCTAGTTTTTGCTCCTTCCAGCTGCCTCTGGCTCCTTGTCTTTGTGGGCTAGGCTTCCTGTCTCCGTGCCCCCCTCCACCGAGGGCTCAGCACTCATATTTTGTTTTGTTTGTTTTAATAGGGGTGAGAAGGGGAGTGGCTTGGAGACCTTGTCTACTGCTTGTGAGACTAGCCATCCTTCAGGAATACTTCGTACTTGGGGTCTAGTTGTAGAAGGGAAAGTTCTTTAAAGTTTGATGCCTCATATGGACCGTTGCCCATTAAAATACACTTATGTCATTTTTTGTTTGTTTTGTTTATTTATTTATTTTGAGAGAGAGAGAGAGAGCGAGCGCACACTTGTGGGGGAGGGACAGAGAGAGCGGGAGAGAGAGAATCCTAAGCAGGCTGTGCACCAGCAGTGCAGAGTCTGACATGGAGCTCGATCCCAGGAACTCTGAGACCACAACCTGAACTGAAACCAAGAGTTGGATGCTTAACTGACTTAGCCGCCTAGGCGCCCCTCATGTCTTTATTTCTTAACATGTGAGTGAGAACGCTAGCCTGTGTAATAGGAACTGAGAATAAGTAAATATGGTCAAGCCTTTAGGCTATGTATTTTTGTGTGACTGTAACAAGTCACTTAATTACAAGTAGTGGATGATACATCTTTCTAAGAAGGCATAAACACCTTTGTCTTATGCATTCTTAATTATTTAAAAACTATTTGTGTGTTATTAATTATTCATCATGACAAACTGATGAAGGTTTGGATATGGGAAAGCTTCCAGAAGTGTTCAGAATTACTTTTGCATTTTACACTTAGATCTGTGCTGTGACCCATTTTGAGTTAATTTTTGTGAGGAGTCTAAAGTGTGTGTCTAGATTTTTTTTTTGCATGTGGTTGTCTAGTTCTAAGATGTTTTGCTGACAAGACTGTTGTCGCTCTGTCAAATTGTCTTTGTTCCCTTTGTCCCGATCCTTTGACTACGTTTAGTTGCGTCTGTTCCATTCTGTCAATCTCTCTGTCTATTCTGGCACTACCACTCCTGCCTTGGTTACCCAAGTAACTTGCTGTTAACCAAGTAACTTGGTTACCCAAGTAAAACTACTTGCTGTAGTTTTACAGCAAGACCGGAAGTCAAGTAGGGTCAGTCCTCCTAATTTTTTCCCGTCCTTCCACATTGTGTTGGCCATTCTAGGTGCTGTGCCTGCCCATGTAAGCTTTAGAATCAATGTGTTGGTATCTACAAAATAACTTGCTGGGATTTTTATTGGGATTGCATTGACTCTATAGGTTAATTCAGAAAGAATCGACATCTCGGCAATATTGTCTTCCTATCCATGAACATGGAATATCTCTCTGTTTTTTTGAGATCTGCTCTGATTTAGTTCACCATGGTTTTGTAGAATTATTTAATCAGAATTTTTGTTTATTCCTTTCATACCTCATGATGAAATGGAGTATAACTGTATATGTGGGAAAGTGAAAAATATATTTTCTACTATATCACACATACGTATATATTTAATACACGAGTGAATGAATGATAGTATGTGTCTGCTCACATACACCTGTAGTCAGATATATATCACAGCTAAAAGCAAATTTATTTTTGCCTCATGACCACACTTCAAAGTGATTTTTCATGATAAAATGTTATTTAGAATGTAAAGTGGGCATCACTCCAATAATGAGCAGTCAGACTAGCCTTGGTGAGAGAGCACTGCGATTTGAAGGAGAAAGGGCATGATGATCATCATGGTAACAATTTTGTTATTTATGGTGCACCTGTATGTACTGAATGCCCCCCAGCCATGCAGTATCCGTGTTGCTTTTACGTGGAGAAACAGGTTTAGGGAAGCTCGCGCTCACCTTGAGTCGCACAGAAGTAAGTGGGGATAGGTTCCTACCCTCTGTCTGTTGGACTTCAAAGCACTTTTTTTTTTATAGAAAATAGAAAAGCAGTGTTTTGCATGGGACTGTCCTTTACCATGTGAATGAAAAATAGTACTGTTTAACAAAAAAGTGAAAGCTGCGAGAACAAAAACACACATAATCTGTTGCCCTATGGAAAAGCCTCTAAGAGACAAAAGAGCTGTCACATAATACATAAAAGCGATGGGTATTTAATAGACCTCTCAATTAGGAGCCATCCAAAATTACCAGAAAATGCATTGAAAATGAAAGGATAAAGTGTTAGAAGGGAATGAGCTAGGGGAGCCTATTACCATTACATAGATGATACCATGCTTGAGATCTCCCTATGAAAAGGCATTTTAGTACATTTCATTGTAAGGTACTTTTTAAAATGTTTTAAAAGGCATTTGAGTACGTTTTAGTAGTAATAAGGGCATTTCATACATTTCATTTAGTTTGTGTTGTGAATTTTTTTTTTTACCTATATAAGGCATGTTTTAAAGGCATTTTATTACTAATAAAGGCATTTTCGTACTTTCACTTAGTTTGTGTTGTATGGTGAATTTAGTTTAGATCGACAGTGTTTTTAATGTTTTAGTTCACTTTATTTTAAGCTAGGTTGTTTGTCTTCTACTCTGAATTTTAAAAACCGAAGTGGCTCTGAAGAAAACAGCCACGGGGTGTGCCTCTGTGACTTTGTTCATCATCCTGTCCGCTGGGAATGGCCCAGGGGAGGGAGGAGAGCCTCGTGGTCCAAGGACTGAGGGCATTCCTGCATTTCATTTACTTCCCCTCAGAGAGGCCCCTGATGCCAGCAGGGATGCTGGGGAGGAATGTAGTCCCTAAACTTATACATCCTTTAATGAAAGCTCTACTGTGTTTTCCTTGACGCCCTATAAAAGATCCTATTTTGTAGAGAAGTCCGTATTAAAGCTTGTTTGGAGTTTGAGTTCAGAAGGCAAGTGCAGAATAATTGCTGACTGTCCCCTTTAGGGAAGAGCAGGATTCTTCTGCGGGCTCAGGTCGGGTGGTGGTTAGGGCCACCGGCCTCATGAGCAGCAACTGGTGGGCCATCAAAAGCTGTTGGCCCACTGGGAGCCCGGCTCGCCCAGCTGAGGCTGGGGGATGCCGTATGATGCTGGAGGTCCTCCTCTGCTACGCGGGATCCAGCCGGTCCTGCCGGGCATGTGCCCACAGGCTCAACACCAGCCCCTTAGGGTCTGAGGCATTTGACTTAGGAGCCTTGGGAATCCCCTTCCTCCCTAAAATGTACTAAAAATTATAGTTTGCAACTGTGTTAGCATGAACATCTATGTAACCTTTGACCCTAAGAGCTTGTGTGTGTGTGTGTGTGTGTGTGTGTGTGTGTGTGTTTGTGTGTGTGTGTTTTGATTTTAGAAGAAATTAAAACACATTTGTGGACCCTTAAAAGTATCATAGGACTGAGGCACTGCGTCTGCTATGCCTAACGGAGAGGTCACCTTGCAGCCCAGACAAGGCACTTCTCAGTGATTGAGACCCTGAAATTAAAAAAAAAAAAAAAAAAAAAAAAAAAAAAAAAAAAGTTAGAGACGCCAACATTTAAAACCCGAAACAGTGTTAAGTCTGACTGTATGTACTGTGCCCACCATGGTAGGATGTTGGGTCTTTGTTTTGTGTACAGTTAGATCTTTCTTTTCTTTTTCTTTTTATATGTTTTATTTAATTTTGAGAGAGAGAGAGAGAGAGAGAGAGAGAGAGAGGGAAAGCGCACACAAGCGGGGGAGGGGCAGAGAGAGAGAGAGGATCCAAACAGACTCCATGATGACAGCAGTGAGCCTGATGCAGGGCTCAGACTCATGAATTGTGAGATCATGATCTGAGCCGAAGTAGGACACTCAACCGCCTGGGCCACCCAGGTGGCCCACGGTTATTCGATCCTTTCAAAGAGAAGCCCAGGGAAGCACAGGTGATGAAGATCTCCCCCCCCCCTTCCCATTCCTCTGTTCCTATACTTACTAATTTTCACTTTACCGTCACGCGTATTTTCACATCATCTCCAGTCTTTCTGGAGAAATGAAGCCCATAAAGTCAACGATTATTTCTCCCCTACTGGGTCAATGAAATAACTGAACCGTCATACGAGGCAAACAGCTGTCCTGGTTATTTACAAGTTAGTGTTGTGTCCACAGTTCAGCTCACTGTGGGAGGTTTACAATAAAATAAGTTTTTGTGGCTCCGTGTGTGCGGTGGTCGTAATCTCAAGTTGGGTGTCCTCAGAGGACATGCTGTCGTGTCCACGTGCACATTTATTTGTGGTGTCTGAGCGTGGGGAGCGCCCGCAGCTGCGGCACATCTGGTGCCCTTGGCAGTGGTCGGAAAGTGTCTGAGGTTGTGAGTACAGCTCAGGCACTCCCATCACGGGCATGAGCGGCGACGGAGGGAGAGAATAACATGCGTCTGATCCTCTTGTCTTCTGCTAGTTCTCGGGGCCTCATGTTTCTCACCTGTGGAATAGTGCAGACACCATGCCCCAAATAGGGGTGGCATAAATATTAAAGAGGTTCACATACGAACGAGTGCTTAGCACAGGAACGTGTATCGATTGGTATTTGTTGTGATTGTTCTTGGTGTTGTCTTGGATCGTGGAACATGAGTGACGGTGGGAGAGAAAAGGAAAGGAAGTCAAATGGGGGAGGGCCCAGCGCCCCTTCTTTGCCCTCGATGTTCCTCTGGAGTCTGTGTGTGATTTGGCCCATGTGCTCTGCTTCCCATGGTTTCACGTTGGGATAAGGCCATCTCCGGGGTGACGCCGGAGCCTGCTAACAGGATGGGGTGGACCCCGTGCAGACCAGAAAAGACGAAAGGCTCACCAGGCTCTAGTGTTTGAAAGAACCGTCCCCAAAGTCCCAGGTGTTACTATATACTCTTTACTATTCTGAAGCCTCAGTGAACGTTCTTAGGGTCCTGGCCATGTAGGTTCTTTGATGGAAGGTTCTTTGGGTGCTTTAGGGGCTCAACATGTTTGGATGAGGGTTAAAGACCTTAGCTGGGTTCCAGCCACAGGGAATGCCGTTCATGGCCACGTTCTGGCAGCGCTTTGCCAAAGCCAACGCCTGCATCGTGCGGCCGTAACCAAAGGAAACACTACGTCTATCGCGTTGTGCTGAAATCCTATAGAATGGGAATAGTACGCCTTTCGTGTGTGTGGCTGGAAACACATAGATAGAAAATGAGCACTAGTGTGCAAAAGTGGATTTCAAAAAATGCATTAGGAAGAGGCTAATGCTATATGCTCATTTTCTGTTTGCTACGAGAACGCGAGAGAAGTGGGGCGGGAAGCCCGCAAAATGGCACCTACTTGTAAGTACTTCCTGCTCTCTTATCTGCTATAGTTAGGCCTTTCTGACCCTTTCCTATTAACCTGTGATCCCTTTAAAACATTAATTGCCGTGCATTAAAATAAAAGCCCATCAGTCTAGAGACTCAGGCAGTTTTTAGATTTTTAAATAAAACATTTCAAACCCATTTGGAAGCCTTCATTTTCTGAGGCCAGGGTATTTCTGATTCTCTGATTCAGGCAGTGAAGTTGGTTGTCTTATTTTTTATCCTGATAGTAAATATTCTTACATTCACGTTGGCATAAAATCCACTTCTCCATTTATCAGGGAAAATCTAAATGCAACGGCATAGCCGGTTTGCATAATTTACATATACAGTACTGGCTTATTTCTGTAGGGAAACGTCGTTATTGAATGGGAAGTTTAAATTCCTCAGAAGTTCCAACCATTCTGCCTCTGAAATGACTTATTTTTATTTATTTATTTATTTATTTATTTATTTATT